CTATATGTGTGTGTGTGTGTGTGTGTGTGTGTGTGTGTGTGTGTGTGTGTGTGTGTGTGTGTGTGTGTGTCGCGTACGTCGTCTGTTGGTTGGTATCCTCAGTGTAAGAACCCTCAGGTCGGGGGTTCGAATCCCTCAGGCGCAGTTGGCTTTTAAGAGGTGGCACTGTAATTTTTAAGCACGTTAGGAGTGGTTGGAGACTCGTATAATAGCCTCTGGCCATTTATATATATATATATATATAATTTAAATTCATTTTTATATTTAGACTAAAATTATTTATATCGAGTCAAAATTACCACCATTTTTACTTTTAAATATGAAAATACACATCTTGGCATGTTTGTAAAAAATTAGAGTTTAGGTGTTAGATGTGTAAATACATTGGATTTGAGTGGTATATATGTAAATCTTCCTCTTTAATATGAGTTTTTCATGGGCTTATTAAAAACATTTTAATTGATTTGTTTATGTGTGCATCTAATTTGTCCCGGGGGTTCGATCCTTTCTCTCCAAACTCAGACATATGATAGCATGCATGAATTATTAAAAAAAAAACTTTCTTGAACAAATTATTTCATTTGAGGGGAAAAAAGTATTCTGTGAGGATGTCTGCACATTCGGACGGTCAATCACCGACAGCCACGTCGCCCGCTGATGAGATGTATGACGACGTATTAATTAATATTCAGCTCTCCTCAGTCTTTTTGATTGTTTTTGACTTCGCATTTTGTAATATTTTTACTTAAATTTTGTGATGTTGGGTCCTAAAATATGAAATTTGTGTTTTAGGCATGTCCAAATGTAAGTGTTCTAAGATTTAGGCCCTCGTTGACTACAGCTTTAACCCATTATATGGAATTAGTCAGGTTTAATATTTGTTGCTATGGAATTGCAATAAATATATAAATTCTAATAATTGGATAACATATATGTCATTTTTTTACTTAAAATAACTTGTATTTAAATTTATATTTTCAAAACTTTACCCCATTTGGAAAATACAAGCGAGAAATGTTAATCAGGACCAGGCTGACATAGACAAATTGGGACAAATTAAATTTAGCCGAGTTTTGAATCAAGGGCAGGCTGGCCGGCCATCAATGTCGTGTAGTTAGGGCCTTTAATTTAGCTCCAAGATCGTTAATCGCTCAAAATTTGAGTTGAATTTTGGCTCGGATCGAGATCGGATCAAAATAAACGAGCCAAAATTTTAGATCAAATTTTTTTGAGCCGATTTTGAACCGACCCCAACTCGGCTCGAATTCGGATCGCTAACAGTCATAATGATGTTAGGGCTGTGAATTTAACGAAATTAGCTCGAAGCTAGTTAATCACTCAAAATTTGATTTGAAAAAAATGAGCTGAGCTACGAGCCAAACAAATGTTTTTTTTTTTTTGTTTTGACAATAACCATCTATTGGAGAAAAATTTGTGTGTTGAGTACGTCAAGGAGGTTATTCAAAGGGTATCAAGGGTTATATCCGTGTTACCCCCCTGTAACCTCTCAAAATTTTTTTTTTTTTTTTTTTTTTTGGCAATAACCATCTATTGGAGAAAAATTTGCGTGCTGAGTACGTCAAGGAGGTTATTCAAAGAATATCAAGGGTTATATCCGCGTTACCCCCCTGTAACCTTTTTGTAACCTACCTGTAATTTACATGTAACCTACAAATATATGAAAACAGAAGCGCAAACTTACTAGAAGGTACAGGTAGGTTTCAGGGATGCTACATCGGGTATAACGCGGATATAACCCCCCCCCCCGAAAAACCCCCCTGACGTACGCAGCGCTCTTATGTACACAAATTTTTTCTCTATTTATTGACAGCATTTAGCTTTAATTGAGAAATTAAATAGAGACGTTGAACTTCAAAGCAAGCACGTGTTCATCAATTCTAAGCTTTGGTTAGAGTCAGCAATTTATTGCATAAAATTCTGAATTTTATATTTCTACCCACCAATGCTTATATTCTAATTTCATGTTAGCTATGGCACATGGGTTCCCAACATTTTAATTGCGCAGAAATTTCTTCCATGTTCAGAGAATAATGTTTCCTGCGGCTGAAAGCATGTTCTAGAGAGAAAAAAAAAATGAAAAATTCTTAAGGTTATATTTATATTTTTGTTAATTAACTTTATTATATATATATATTTGTAGAATCACATCATAATAATGTGATCTCCAATGATTTTGTATCTATATTTGTGAATGTCAAATTATTTAGCTGTATTGTCCATTAATTTAAATGTACTCATCAAGCAATAAAACAAATTTCATTCAAAAGTTGGTGCAGCTCTATAAGACATACAGAAAACTTCTCCTATAGATATAGGGACTGTTTGCAGTAGTTGGAGCTGTTTGAAGAAGCAACCGTGAAGCTACAGCATAAGTTGTTGATCAAAAAATTATCGTAGCTATTACAATTTTTTGATTTGAAATAGTTGGGTTGCAGCTTTCTAACAGCCACTGCACTTAACCAAGCGGGGGACAACACGTAGCTTTCAACAGCAGTTTTTTGAAAAGAACTGAAAAGATACAGTTCTATCAAATAAAAAAAATTTAATGCGAAATATATTAATGCATTGAGAGTTCATTGATGGGGAAGAAGGGAGGAATTTGGCTTCCAGATGAAAAAATTAATGTAATTAAACGTTTCGTACATAGCAGCATAAGATAGAAACTTCTGAAAAGGGTAATAAGAGGTGACAGCATTCTGAAATGGCACAAAGGAAGCCTTACTCTTTTATCTTATTTTGTACAAAGAGAAATGGACGATGACTTGTGATGCATGTTTGTTAGTATTTTGCTTTTTTTGAACTTCAAAGAATGATAATAATAATCATAATAATAATAAATAATTTGAAATGAAAAGGTTATATTTGTAATATATACTTGCATATTAATTTTTGCAGATGTGGCCATCTTTAATTGCCAGTGCAAAGTTAGGAGGACTTGATGTGATTCAGACTTACGTTTTTTGGAACATGCATGAGCCTGTTCAGGGACAGGTGATCACGTCGCCCCTATTACATCCCTTTTATTGTTTATTTTTTATTTTTTTTGCTTATTATAAATCAATAAATAAGTTTTTTTGTTTTCAGTATAATTTTGAAGGGAGATATGATTTGGTGAGATTCATCAAGGAAATTAGGGACCAGGGCTTGTTTGTTAGCCTGAGAATTGGGCCATTCATTGAAGCAGAGTGGAAATATGGGTAATTTTCTATGCTATTTAAGTTTTATAATAAATGTTGACCCCCAAAGTATGGATTTTCCTAATATAACATTTTTTTCTAAATTAGCTTCTAATAAGTAACATTTGTTAAAACTTGCCTTCAACAAAATTGTAGCCCACATCATTTCACATCTTGAATGGAGTATATGTGTATATAATGCATTAAAGTAAGATAAAAGTAGTGGCTAATCTCCATTTTGCTTTCCAAAAAAATCCAATATCTAAAAGTTAAGTTTTCTATCCTCAACATTTGTATCATATTCAGCTTTAACGAATGCCTTGGTATTTTAGTGTTAAGTCTAATTATTCAACAACCTTTCAAAAGACTTCTAATTGATGTGTCTAATAATTATTCTCTCCAATACTAATAAAAGAGATATCATCACATAATAGTTAGATAAATTAATATTTTAATTAATTTTTTATATTGATGTTGATTATTATATTATGGATTAGTTATCTAATTAATTTTTTATATTGATGTTGATTATTATATTTTACATTCTCATCAATATGGATTAGTTATTCATGAGAGTTGAATTGATTTTCAATTCAAAGATCAAATATTGTAAAGATGATTAGTGATTTTCTTATCGAGTTAGAAAAGCCTTTTCATAACAACATAAATGTAATCCCAAATAAGTATTTAGAATGCTTTAAATATTTAGATACAAAATAATTATATATTTTTTTTATTTAGTTTAGATATGCTATCTTTGTCACCCTCAGAATCTACATTAATGTGTAAAATATCTGAATTGATTGTTGGCAATAACATAATGATTCATTGTACTAGTTTGAAAGTTATTTTTGTTAAAACTTTATAGATTTTGTTAAAGTAATCTTAGAAACCCTGCTTGACTTGATAAATAGGCTACCTAATCTTTTCTAGAACTTCAAAAATTTTGTTAAAGCAGTCATAGGAACCCCGCCTGAAATGATGAATAGTTTGCAAAAGTAGATATATGTGTTGCTTCAATTAAACAACATACCCAATAGGCTGCTCCTTATATGCTATCTCATGCATGTCATCATAAAGAAAGATGTAAAAAATATCAATTTGAAACATGTCCCAAAAATTGGCTAGCCACATAGATTAGAATTATAATAGTTGAGTGGTGACTAATTACAAAGCATAAATAATCTATCACATAAGGTTGAGTAAATTCTCTTATAACTAGTCATATTTTATACCAATGAATGGAACCATTGAGCTAAAAATTGATAATAAAAATGTTTTAACAAGCAATGGACTTGATCCCATAGGTAGGTCATTCATATTTGTTGACTATGAAGAGCACCCATAGCCTATTTTTTATAAAAGATGTTATTGTAGTGTTCCTGGATGCTTTAGAAATATAGGTTATAAACTAATATGTGGAAAATGATAATAAGAGGGTTATACATGATCAAAGTTTATGAATGAGTATCTTATCATAACATAGTGAAAATGTGTATAAATATAGGCTTAGTATAAGTGGGAATCTTACTATATGTAAAAATAATAATAGGAAGTGTTGCAAATGGAGTTAGTTAAGGTTATCTACGGTCCACCTTTAAAGGAGGATGAGTAAAGAGTGAAGTAATAGAAGAAATAGGAACATAAGTTTATGACACTTAAGTCTTGATAGAAGAAAAAGATATTGTCATGAAATATAATGTCACTTAATGTGTGCAATCATTTAGTAAAGAGATCATATTATCGATGTTTTTTTTATTCAGAAGTACATATGCTATACAATGAGTGCCATGGGGAGAGAGTTTATCATTTGAACAAAAATATGAATAATGTAAATGCAATCAAACACTGATAGCATAAAAGAGCAAAAATACAACCAAACACCCATTGAGAAAGACAATAGAATTGAATTTATTAGGAAAAATAATCTTGATAAGCATTTGATTAATAAGACATATAGAGAGACATGATTAATAAGAAAAAGGATAATAAGGATCTCATCTTTATAAAACCAATGAAGTATAATCTTATGAAACATGAGTCTAGGTGATATCCAGGTAATGATGACAATAAATTCTATGACACTATAAGGTTTATAGGTTTATGAATATCATTTTGCTAAATCATTTCATTTAAGATAAAAAATTAGGAAATGTGTTCTATATGAATTCAAGTGGGCTATTTATTCAGAGAACTTTTAATAAATTTAAAAATATCTTTAATTACTCAATAAAGCTAGTAAAAATGATCAATGCATTTTGAATTTGAATAGTGAAAAGAAATTTGAGACATTTAGTCAATAAAAGAGACATTTATATGAGATGGCATGGTGAGATGCAATGAGGCAAGCAGGATCATGTACATAAGTTATGGTCATTAAAAATAAATGTAGTCTAGCATCAATTAGGTATTCAAGATAAAATACTCTTATCAATTTAGAGATATTAAATGTTAGACATAAGGGCATTTTAGGATGAAATACATTTCAAGATCAACAAGAAAAAAAATGAATCAAAGGTATGATAAGCATATCTAGTTGGTTTATCACTTATAAATAGAGTTATTATAAAACTAGTTCTATTATTGTTATTAATCAAAATAAATTCCACACAAAGAAGACTCTTAAGGTAGTACATCAAAAATTTTGCCTTCAATTGAAATGTTATTTAATTGGATGCATTACTTATCTAAATAAATAACTCAAAGAAAAATAAAATTCTTTAAAAACTTGATAAAATTATAGTTAAATATGATTTTGATTTTAATTTTGATTTTTACAAAACTAAAGATTAAATGTACTCTTAATTTATTCATGCCATTTTAATGCTCTATGGAAAGAGAGAGATCAATTTGGATTCGAAGTTTAGTATAAAGTAGGTCAATGATGAAAATAAATGATAATTAGATTAATGAATTCTCTATTTAAGGATTGTGTAGTTCATTTAGTGACAAATAGTTGGGTTAAATTTTAATGGTTGCCTGTAGTGAGACTCAAAGGTCAATGTTGTGAAAATATTGATAGTTATTGTCATTCTCACTTGAAAATTTATGAGGTTAGATTGCCAGTAGAGGTCAAAAGTGGAGGATTCTAACAAATAACAATGTATTTTTAATATTGAGGTGAAGCATGTGGTTGGTAGAGAGCTTGTTAGAGGTCGTGGAGGTGTTAATATGAATTAAGATCAAAGGGAAAGAATAGTGAAAACTTGTAGTAGTTCAATTATGAAAGGGCTAAGTGGAGAAAGTTAAGATAATATAATATTTTCTTAGATAATATATCATATCATTCATAAGTTTAAGATGAACATGATGTAAATAAAAATAAAGAGAAAATGAAAATGAGATTCATAAGTTTAAGATGAACATGATGTAAATAAAAATAAAGAGAAAAGGAAAATGAGATTCTTTTTAATTTAGTGTGTTCCTAATGTGTTTTTTTTAATATGTTCATTACTTTTTAATTTAGTGTGTTCCTAATGTGTTTTTTTTTTAATATGTTCATTATTTCTCCCTAGGCCATACTTTTATCAAAGAAATTTATCATTATAATATCTTAGAATAGCTAATTTTAACTCATAAATGGGTAGATGAAGATAATAGAATATAGAAAAATTAGAAAAAAAAATTCATAAGTAGTTAAGATATGAACACCACAAATAGTGCTATGGAAAAAAAATAAAGCCCCATAAAATATAGTAGAGTTTCCTTCTGATTTCGACGAGGGAAAAAAGTTGGACTTAAAATTAGTGGCAATGATAGAAGACAAATGTAAGGAGTATGATACAATTATGGAATCTTTTAAGTACAATGAGTTTGAATTATTAAGCATTGTTGGTTGAAATCTAATCAGAAGTTAAGTGCGTTATAGAAACACTCATGATTTATGTGATCCAGATGGTTGGGAATTCCAGTTGCTACACCAATCATATTTCATAACTTCCAATTTACTTCTTGATTTTTTTTTTGGGTGGGGGGGAGGGAGATTAAGCCTCATAAACTTTAAGTAACAGTCTACACCTATATCTTCCACTTTATTTTCTAAGCCTAAATCCTTGAGAGATATAAAAAGCTATTTAAATAAAGTGGCTTTTCCATTTCTCTCCTTCTTAGAGGTAAATTTCTATAATTTTTTGAATCTTTGAAAAAAATTTATTTTTTTCTTCTCTTATTTTAAAGATTAGTCTTTAAAGAATTCTTTTTGCATTCAAAACAATTCTAAAATAGTATATTTGTTCATGCAAACACACAATTAATTGTGAATTTGTTGAGAGCAGAAAATAAGAGTGTGTTTCATTATTAATCTCAATATTTAAGTAAAAATTTGGGAAGTGTAAATATAGAAAATATAAGTTTTACACAAAACAATAGTCCTATAAAAAATGTTATATATAATATACTAGTAATATTAAAAATTCAATAGACAATAAAATATTGTACTAGCAATATATTTGCTATTAATACTTTTTAATTTAATTTGATATTCCAATGTAAAATTCCAATAATACCTCTTCTTGTTCTCAAGTTGTATCGCTCTTCTATTTTGTCTATTCGCAGTCATCTACAAAGGTAAATGGAGATCGATAATCTATTCAGAATTTAAATAAAATGAACAAAAATAAATTAATTAAAAAAGGATTGCTCTTTTCTTTTTTCTTAAATTGGAGTTCATCGAGATTTAGAAAATGAATTGTGCATATTTTTCTTGGGTCAACCAATGAAAAGTCTAATAGTAAAAAAGAAAAAAAAAATCATATGTATATCTAGTCAAACAACTTTTCTTAAAGTGGTTGTTTTTCTGAAACAGGGGATTTCCATTTTGGTTACATGACATTCCAAATATAGTTTTTCGAAGTGATAATGAACCTTTTAAGGTATGTCTTTTAATATTGTGCTCTTAAGCATATCCTTCAAAGTTATTAATACTTCAAATTTTTCATTCTTAAATTGAAAATTTTGGAAAATATAGAGTAAATGCAATTACTTAACAAGCATTTAAAGTCTCAAACTATCTAAATTTTATCTTATAATTTTCATGATTAAAATTATTTTGTATATTACACGTGATGGTCAGTTGATCAAAACAAATTAAAAATCTTTACCAATCATAGGATTTAATTGTTACCATTAAATATAAGAGTTTTTAAAAAAATTGTGTCTTTATTAAGTCATCATACTAGTAAAAGAAAAAAAATGTGCTTATTTATAGAAAAATGAAAAAAAAACAAAAGAAAAAAAAAGAAGAGAATATTCTCATTAATAAGGATATATTAATAATAAACTTTGTTGTTTCTTACCATAAATAATTAATATGTGTGCTCATATAGATTTAGATATTGTCACACTCTTCCACAAATTTAAGGTGATTTAGAAGATGTTACTTTTAGCCTAGAAACAATAGTGACAAGTGATGAATGAAGAAAGGTTTATTATCAAAAAGACTGCCTTTATCATAAAAGAAGTGCAATCAATTCATCAAAGCGAGAGCTTTATTATGAATTGGATGCAAAAATTTACAGTAGGATCTAAATTAGAAGAGGCACTAATAAGACCTTCTGATGGAGAATAATGAAAATATCATCATTATATTGTATTTATTTAGAGCATTAACGTAGAGGATATTAATAGAGGGTGCCAACAAAAAATAGTAATATAAAGCACATATTAACATTCCTAACAAGTTAGGTTAGATTATTGAAGTGACCCAATTGGTGGATGAGGCTGCCTCCTACTTTCTTTAGAAGATTTATAAGAAAGATATTTACCAGTTAATTAATGGAGATAAGTATTTAGAGGTGGTGACAATTTAAATGGAAGATTATGAATTTCTATTCATAATTTATTATTCTCACTTATTTTCTTAAAAAAAAAATTCTATGGATGTTTAAATTTTAATAATATAGGCCTGAATAGTGAATTGAGTCTACTATGAGTATGAAAAATTTGAATAAGTTAGACAAAACTCGACAGTGAAATTGGCTTGTAGAAGGTATAATGTCATTCTATCTAAAACATATTAGGTTTAGGGTTTTTGTTAGAGTTCTTAATTGGTTGAGTAAAATCTATGTATTTCACTTATAAAAGGTTACTAAGACACTAATTTTATAAGTTTTATTTTCAATAATTTTTCTAACTTCTGAAACTATTTTATAGGAAATAAATAATTGAAAATAGAGAAAAAAGAAAGTATAAACAATTAGGTTTACACTTTAGTTTTTTAGTTCCCTAGATTTTTTTCTACAATAGTCCCAAATAATTTAGTGATATTATCGATTCATATAGAAAAAATGATCTAAGAATTTTGATGTAATTAGCCTTGAATTCCTTATTTAATTGAAAGAGATTATGAATTTGTCTAGAATTTCAACCACTTAACTAACTCATTTAGGCTTTAAAATGGGAATTAAGGAAGGAAAATTTTGAATTTTTATTTGGTAACATAGTAGAAACATAGATTCATAAAAAATGTATTAAATTGGAAAGAAAATTTGCAAGGATGTAAATTTTCTTATCAGCAAAGTGAGGATTACAAGGGTTCACTCAAAAACTTATTAAGGTTGGCCACCAAAACTTCTTATGATCATGAAATAACTAAAATTTGCATAAATATCAACTCTTTTTACTTAAAATTTAAGAGTAAGATACCAAACATTTCTTCCCCAAAAGACACATCCCCTTACTTCAAAATTCAAACACAAAAAGAAGTGTGAAGTTAGGTGGCTCATTGACTTAGTTAACACAGTGCCACTTACTTCCGTACTTGACCGTAGCCCTCCTCATATATTGACTTTGGGCCACCCACCCCACCTTAAACATGGAACATAACACCTAAGTAAGAATGTTGACCTATGGTTAACACGTAAATGAAATAAAGTTAGAGAGTAAGAAACAAACAATTTAACATAAATATTACAAAATGGAATAAATATAAATATTACTGACATAATTAAAATAATATCATCATGATAATCTTCATGCTTTTCATTTGGGTTGGCTTCTGATAATTGAACCTCTAAAATGTGAAGTAGTTATATTGAGCTAGACTTTGGTATTAGGTCCCACATTAGTGCTTTGAGGCCTCACCTTAGGTCCATCTTTGGTGATAATGGGTTCCACCTTGGATCTATCATGATGTGTTAGATCATTTCCACCAAGCCCTAAAAAAATCATCTCCAAAAAGTTAGGGTGAAGTGGTCTTCTAATATAAAAAATCATCTCCAAAAAGTTAGGGTGAAGTGGTCGTCTAATATCTCTGGTGCTAATTAGTGTAACTCATATTATGTTAGCCAAACATCTTCGCCCAATAGTTTATTATTTCCCTTTATCAAAAACTTTTGAGTAGTTCTTATATAAAGTTGTCTCAAGTGTAGCTATGTATTCTACTTCAAAGAATGTTGGATGAATGAGTACATGCAAATGAATTATCTCTCCTCATCCAATAGTATTATCTTATAAATTTGGAGGTTATTTAACTTTATTAAAATAAATTAAGTCTTCGCATTAAAATATAACTAATAAATATGTAGGGGAACAATTAAAAAACATAAGCATTAGTGTCAAGTTTCCTAATAACTTTAAATGGCATGCATGCTCTCAATTATAACTTATTTATATTTTGTGGAAAGGAGTCTCTCAGGCCAGATTTGTGCCAATACATAATCACCTAGCTTGCATTCCTTAACAATTTTTTTATTATTATATAAGTCAGCATACTTAGCAATTTGCAGTTCTAATTTTTTTAAGACTTCATGAAGGCCATGAAAATTAAATATAAATATAAATGTTGAATCAGAAAATGCTTAAGTAGGTGTGCTAGTTAGATAAATTAATTTCTTAAGATTATCATCATATACTACATCAAATGGTGTTCTATTAGTAGTTCTATAAATAATACCATTATATACAAACGTAGCTGTGGGGAGGCGTAAATCTCAATTGTCTAAAATTCTACCCACAATACTTCTCGAAAAATTTGACATAAATTTAGCATCTCCATTAGAAATTATGATAGATGGAATCTCATGAAATCTCATCTTCTCTCTAAAGAATATTTTAACAGTGTAAGATATGTCATTTATTTTTAGAGCATGGAAGAAAATTTGACATCTTAGATAATCTATCCATAATCACAAATATACTATCATAACCTATAGATTTCATGCATAAATAAAAAAAATGTCCATATATATGTCTCGCATAGCGTAAAAGGAGTAGGAAAAGGAGTATAATGACCCTTTTTTTATAGCTTTGACATGAGAAAAGTATAACATTGGGTTATAATTATCTCAAAAATCCTACATATAGATCACCAATAAAATCATTTTTCTACCAAATTTTAATTTGTGTTTTCGCAAAATGTTCACTAATTTCTCTAAAATAAAGTTTGATTATGATAAGGTATTCTCTTATGGAGGTTCTAGCATATTTTACTAATAAAAATACTTAAAACTAGTAAGAAATTTACTCGAATCCTTAATGTAGTGACTAATCTTGCTAGGATCAATTTAAATCACTTATAATTGCCTTCTCCAAGTTTCCAAGCTTTGGGTGTCAAATTAACTGCAAACTTGTCAAATATGTTCCAAAATATCTATAATAACTTCTCAGAGAAGTGACACAGATTAATGGATGAGCCAATCTCCTAGGATAAATAGGAGATTATGAGATAGATATCTAAGCCAATTAAGTAGTGGGGCTAAGTATATAATGGTAGTGGTAATTTAAATAGA